ATGTACAGTGAAAAAATAGGCTTCCCCATCCTTTGGAACAGACAACATAACTACACTTCATAAATACTACGTACACAGTAAGGCCTTACTAGAAAATGTTATGAAAATAATGCAGCTGGTTGAAGGAGGATTGTCCTACTATATGAAGAAATTTCTGGAACTGTGTAATTTCCACACTGATTTCTTTCATTATCTCTTTTTTGTAGCTGGCCTTGAGGGAGAAAACCAACACAGGAGGGCACTTGGAGAAAACTGGAGTTTTCCTTCAGTTCTATTATCTCTGATTTCCAATTTCTGCCTGAAATTGTTGGCAAAGGTGTACAGCTGAACAGCCTGATTTACTACCAGGGAATTAAACCAATGCATTCCCTGCCCAGCTCCACCGCATACAAAAGCATTCCTTACCCACTGCCAAGAACCAGAGACTGCGTTAAACAGATGCCACAATTACACACATTGGAAGCTACTGGAAGGCTCAGACAGAGACACTTGGAAAGTAAAGACATGTACAAGAAAATAACCCACTTCATGGAGAAAAACAATGATCAGACAGATTCCATTCTACAACTGAAGCAGAAGCCAACATGAAATTTTAATAGCTGCTTGCTTATTGCAGTATCACTGCAGGAGCAAGGAGACTAAAAGAAACAGCCATCCCAAAGACATATTTCTAAGCAAACCTTGGAACAATAGACCTAACTTTTCAACCTCTATTTCCTTCTTTAAACTTAACTGAGATAGAATATAATAGAAAACGTACAAAAAAAGAGAAAAGAATAAAATAAGGTTCTGATTTTTCTAAGTCTTGATTTAATTGCCATTGCTTTCTCTAAGGCTACAGGAACAGTTCCCTAATTTTCACTGCTCTACTTTAAATTGACCAAAAGGTGAACCTGCAGCATTTTTTATTTATTTATTTTTATAAATTGCCATGCAGGTACGTCAAAGATTAATAGAGATCAAGGGCCCTGCCTGAAATTTTACGTTCAGGATCAGATATAAAAATCCCTTTTACTACAAAGAAACATTCTGGTAACACGTGTATTGGTTTCCATTAATTCTATGTTAACTCACACATGTAGATTTAGAGCACAACCATGGGAAGAGGAAAGCATCCCAGCTTCCCTTCACAGGGAATAATAATCATATTGATATGATCATATTAGTATCAAGAATAGCTTGTAGACTACTAGTTTACTTTACACAACAGCTTTATGCAGGAAAGTGATGGAACAAATAATGATAGATCAGAACAAATAAAGAGCTCCAAACAATCAAGTGGAGGGAAAACCAATAAAGCCCTAGCAGTCTTAACCCAACCCAGGTGACAAGCACATAAATTTGGTTTACTTTATTCAAAGAGTGAGTGTGTTAGTGTCCTGGCTGTTTCTACCCTCAACAGTGACTACACATGCACTGAATAGTTAGGTTGCCTAATCTCTCTGTGACCCAGTTTACAATATAGCAACTTCATAAGACCATTATATAATGCATTAAATAATGATGACTAATGACTAGTGGTGTTTGTAGAACTTTTCTACATACAGCCATACTACAGGAGCCATATGCAAAGCATATCTGTGTTGCATTCAAAGTTTCACTTTGAGCATTGGGCTGGTCTTTTAACTACTGAATTAATGCCAAAAGAAGTTGATTTGTTGAAAGCCTGTGGTGCTTGACACCAAACACAAAGGCTGTCTGGTGGCTTAACTTAGGTGACTGGTAAAGGCCCCTGGTGAGCAAAGACACGGATACAACATGGTCCTATCATGACAGACCCTTTCTTTCTTATAGTCCTCCTTTAGATAGTGAAAGGCCACCATCAAGTCTCCCCAGAGCCTTCTCCTCCCCAAGCTGAACAGCCCTAGCTCTGTCAGCCCATCTTCTTAGGGAGGTGTTCCACCCCTTGGATCATTTTTGTGGCCTTCCTCTGGATGCACACCAAGAGGCCGACATGCCTTCTGTACTGAGGACTCCACATTTGGACGCAGTACTCTAGGTGAGGTTTTGCCAGTGCAGAGTGGAGGGGCTCCCACACTTTGATGCAGGCCAGGATACAGTTGACTTTCTGGGCTGTCTTATGTCCAGTTTGCCACCTCCCATATCTTTTTCAACAGGACTGTGCTTTATCCTTTTGTTCCCCAGTCAGTGGCGATATCAGGGATTATTATGACCCAAGTGCAAGATGTTGCACTTGGCTTTGTTGAACTTAACGAGCTTCTCCTGGGTGCGCTGCTTGAGCCTGTGTAGGTCTTTGGATGGTATCCCATCCCTGAGGTGCATCTACAACTCATTTCAGTGAAAGGATGAATAACAGAAAGCACATTCTTTGGGATATGCCTTGGGATAATGGAATGCAATATTGCTGCAGCCAATTGCAACCACAGCAAGTTCCTGAGCATGTAGATTTGGCATAGTAAATCCTAGCACTGTAGCCCTAAGAGTCTACTCATAACAACGCAGTAAGGAAAGTGGTTCTCAGAGGACAGGTGCCATTGAGGTGCTAGTTGCTATTTTACTTTCTGATCAGTTCTTCACTCCAGTAAGGCTCCTGATAAAGTATATGAAATAAAGTGACAAACTGCAGTAGTCAAATGATATGTGACATTGAAAAGACTGTTTCATGAAGTAGCACCTAAAGAATCGTAAAACTGCAAAAACAATGCAGGTACAATAAGCCTTTGGGATGATTTACATACTTTCTTTAAATGCATAATGTATACACAGTAACTGAACCAAGGTGAAATCATAGGGACTTTCAATAGCATACTGAATTAATGTACCAATAACAATCTATTGAATAATTGCTCCATTTTTTGTTTAAATTGTGAGCATAAATGTATTCAAGACCTATTATACAGCATCTGTTTTAGAGGTCTGGGACACAATATACCCATCTCCTGATACTCTCATTACAGCCTAGTCACATCCTGTTACACAGATGAACCATTCTTCCTTGTTATTATTCACCTCAACTCATTTTACAGTTTCATTCAAGGCTACAGCATGATTCTGGGACATGTTGAATTTAATGATATCATATGCAATGGAGTTGTGCATATTTGGTAACAAGAGTTCCTGGACTTGTACTTTCAATAGTTTCATCTCTCCACAAGCAGATTTATTTCAAACACTGAAGAAGCTCACATAATGCACTTTCTTCCTAACAACAGAATTATGAGTTAATTACTGCAATGTGATAGACAGAAGGAAACAAGCACCCTTCTGCATTAACATCCAAACACTTAAGATTCAAACCTTCCTGCCTCTAACAATTATACTATCAAAGAGCTCTTCCCCAGAGAGTGAAGCAAGAGCCAGTATAGCATTCATTCAGCCACAGACCCTGACAATCCATTTGGGTCATTTGCAATTCTCACCCTTTGAGACAAAGAAGAACTTGTGCCTTGTGTTTGAATATATTCTAACTTTGATGCAGATACTTAAGGATACTCAGAAGGGGAAAGAGAGAATGATAATGCTGGTCAGGAATTACATGAAGGACTGGCCAGACAATGCAAGAAGCCTTCCTCACTGCATGCCAAGTGCTGCCTCTAGCCCTAAGGAAAATTCTGGGAGTTTAACTGTTAAAATGGAAGGTATGAATGATGCAGGGAATCAGAATTGGGAAGAAAAAAATATTGAAAAAAAAATCAGAACAGATTTCAACTCTCCTGCATTGCACTTTAAGATTTGGTTACACAGTCTATTTTGCCCCAGCCAGACTTACTGTGGGGCTTAAGCCTTTGTCTCTTCTGCATAGCAACTTTTGACAACTTCCCCTACCCCTTATCATGATGTAGCCCTCTGCCCCAGCCACAGCTCACTTTTCTCTCCTACCTAATGGACCCATTTCTGTCTTCAAGGGAAGTGAAAAGCAGCTGCTTGCATAGCCTGCCCTGAGGCACTGCCAAGCAGCTGCCTCCCTCTCTGTACAGCTCCGCTGTTCACATTCTCAAAGAATTTCAGGCAGCTCAGGGGTTTGGACTACCTCAGACCTGCCAAACTAGTTATCATACAACTAAGTCACAGTTTTGGAATGAGTAGAATCAGGCCAAGACTGCTTGCAAAAGAAGAAAAGGGGAGGGGATAATACCAGGTGAATGGCAAGGAGGAGAGGGGTTATGGGACAGTAGGATGACTACGATAGATATGTATGGAGAATTAGTGACTGAGACCCTCTGCACAGCTCACACATCCTCAACTCCACCTCTACAGCTGCAAATCTCATATCCCTCAACATATAACCAAAAGCTTTGACCTTGTCTGTTAATGAATTTCACCCAATCTTGACGTCTATCATCGAAGGATTTTCTTACACATACCACCTCCCTTGCTGCAAGATACTTCATCCCCCTTTTTCCCCCCTTTTACAATGTTGAAAACAATGAGCAGACTTAAAAGCCTTACATCTCTAACGTTACAGCAGTTTTCATATGATCTCAAATCAGAACAATCTCAATACATGTCTGCACTGAGCTGACATTTGGAAACATTCAGCACCATCACATTATCATTTGTTTTCAGGGAATGAAGTTTATGCCAAGCAATACAGACCCTATTCTTATCACAAATTACCTTAGCTGTAGCTCCTGACTGAGGCTTTCTTTTATGTTCAAGAATGAAATTACATCTAACTTTGAGCTGATCTGCTGGATAGAGTGGAAACTCACCCTTTCAGGATAGAGATGCTGTTCTATTATTAGAGTCCATCATGCAGTACTAATGCATAAAGTGCAAGAATCATTAACCTTGAGTTGTTTTTCTTTTATAATGAAGCCACAAATATTAATTCATAGAAAATGTTGTAGAAAGAAACAGATGCTGTGGTTTTTATAAAATCTCAACAAAGCTTTGAGGGATACGAGGGAGCACTGTTTCCTAAATTGTGACAAAGGACACAAAGGTGGCTGGAAATTTATGTCAATATCAGATTGAGAACTTTATAGGAGATGCTGTGATATGAACATTTACATAGAAAATATCTACTGATCACTCACCTTTTCTTCATTACCAGCACAACCCCCAGAAATATAATGACAAACAGCAAGATGCCTGCGATGACTCCAGCAATTTTAACAGTATGGTCAGTCTGCTTCTCAGGCTCTGGGTCTGGTTTTCGAGTAGCAGCCCCTATGGAATAAGTAAAAGGAGGAAAAAAAAGAATAAGGATGTTACTCTCACCATTTCTATACACTTATTGATGCCATTAATCTTAACCAGAGCCAACAGATACTAATTTGTGATCTTTCTGGAAGATAAATCCTGCTTTTATATGCATTGACAGAAATATGATTTTTCATATTGTTTCCTGACATTGTTAGACCACAACAAGGTAGGATATCACAGTCAGTCCTGACCCTTTTGTAAGAGCCTTTTCACAGACTCACAAATTCCTATATTTTTTATTATCTCTTCTGGCTCCCCTTTCTTTCTGCCATTTAAAAACTTACTCACAACACAATAACTATCCTAAGCCTTTATCCAAATTTGATTTGCTGGAACATTTTCCTCAATTACTTCTCATAAATGAAGCTGTAATTCCATAATATATTAGCTTAAACACCTGGAAAAGTGAGATAAGCTCATTTACCATGCATTTTACCCACAATTGTTTTTTTCCCCACACAATAGACTTTTTTTTGCCTTTGGAAATCTAAATCTAGGTCACATCTGGTAGGCAAAAAGACTCCTAAACAATTTATTCACAAAGTGGGAAGCAGCTGATGATCACACCACTGGCACCCACATTTAATATCTGTTTAAATGAGATAACCAGTGCCTTACAGCATCTTCTGTCTTAGCTCTTTCAGCTTCTCCATTTAAAAAAATAACATCGTTTGTACTGTTTACTGTATAATGTGATGGAACGTCAAATCCATGTCTGATGAAATATCCATTTCCTCTACTAAATGAGTTCAGGATGAAAAAATGTTAAGGAAGCAACATTCAATTCAGTGAACTGAATTTATTTTTTTTATGGACTTCAATTTTTTTTTTTTTTTTTAATCAAAATGTGACAGTATTCATCATTTGAGGCACCCTGCCATAACATGGACATGGAGATTTATGCACCATTCTCCTACTATAGCTTATCCTGGGAAGGGGAAAGGCAGTGTAAAGTCTAACTTAAGAACCTGGTCTGAAAATACTACGCTTGTCTCACTGCCCAGGTTCCACAAAGGTTTGGAAAGCATCAAAATGTATTTTGATTCTGCACTTCCTTTTTTTTTTTTTTTGGAAAGAAAGCAAGTCAGTGATCAAGTTCAGAAAATTTTTGAATGTAGAATTATAATGAAAAGTTTCTCATGTTCTCAGTCACAAGCAGGATGTTCTAGGATGGTTGTTCTGATTGCCCGCAGTTACATTGACTGCCTATTTCTTCCAAATTCTACTAACAATGTGTGGAAAACCTGGCAATTGTTATTGGTGTCATGAAATGGGTCCTAACACATAATCAAAATATATCTAGAGCTAACTGTGAGTACCAGGCTTTTTTTTTTTTTTTTTTTTGAAGTAATCTTCGTGTGAGTGGTAACTCAGAAGGTGATCTGCTACACATCTGTGTCCATCCCCAACAGAGTATTAGTTCTATAGCAATGAATATATTCTCTATTAATAAAATTCTTACTCTGAATGTGTAGTCATAACAGAACCTATCCCTATATTTTCTTCTGCGCCTATGCATGAAGTTTTGTTATAAACAGTTCTATTTTTAATTTTCTTGTGTCATACATAAATAATTTTAAAATCTATACTGCTCAGAAGTGTACAAGATATTTAGAGAACACCCAGTGTATCATCTTGCAAAAGGCAGCTGCTGAATTGGATTTGACAAAGAGGAAGCAGTGAATCAAGCAGTATGATGCAAACTGCAGGAGATGAGAAGGACGTTGCAGTGCTCTTTTGAACTGAAGCCCCAAACGAAGAATGCAAAGACAACAAGAAGCAACACCATTTCAGGTATAACTTCTAAGACTGGTTCCTTCATCACCACTTCAAGCTACTTCACTCTACTGGACCACTTACTTAAAATTTGCCTTGTGGTTTCCTTCCATTAAGGATTTCAATGCGACTTTTGGGATGCCCAATACTAACGTAAGTGAAAGCATCCTTGCACCATTTTAACATACAACTCAACTATCCTATCCATTTTATCTCATTGTCCTGTCTCCCTTTGACACAGGATCCTCATTTCATTAGAACTACCTAGAATTGCACAGTGCAGAGATAACATCAGTCGTACTGATAATATAAACATTTTCCGTGTATCTTGGAGCACAACTTTCATGAAATGCCTTCAGTGACAAAAACATTACCCTCTGGGTAATGCGTTACAAGCTGCAGAATCCACCTCTAACACAAACTCTCAAAATAAGTTGTACACAAGGAGAAATACAAAGTCTAACATTAGGACACTGAAGCTCCCGTACTGTATCATACAGTGATTACCCAATTGAGTAATCAACAGAAGTTTTCTAAGAAAATTGCACATAGTGCCACTCTGAGGAAAAAACAGAATTGTTTATCACCACAATGGACTCAGCCTGACTCACAGAAAAGACAGTCTTAACCTGGAAGTATATTGTGTGACATTCCTTTTAAAAGTACCTACAATTAACTCTTATTAAAAAAAAAAATACTGGTATTAACTTAGTTCTCATTTGGTGTCATCCAGCATCTTATTTATTCACTGAATGTTCTTAGGTCCAGCTGATTTGACAATCCACTTGGGTAAAAGAACCAAATTTGCCACTTTTCACTTTGCTTGAACACCTCTTTTTGAAAAGAATATTAGAAATTCTAGATCATCATTACCTCCATTTTTATTTAAACTGTTCATTCCCTTAGTGTACTTTAATTTTTCTTAAAACCTAAAAAATTAAAAAATTGATTGTTGCATTCCACCCCATACTTTAGCCCCTTTAGCATAGTTTGGTTTTACTATGACAGCAGGCAGACATTGAAGAGGTTGCATCTGCAGCAGTGAAATCTGTATTCATTTCTTCAGTGCAGCAACCAATTTTGAACCCTCCATGAAGGAAAAACTCTTCAAGTTTACCTCCAATGAACACTATCAAGCATCTACCAGGACTGAAGTTCACAATGATACTGCCTCTTTATTCAGTTTGGTTTTGTTCTCATTAATCCACATCACCTAGCATCATGATCAAGAGCTGCTGCCTCAACTCTGACTCTGCCAGCTATTTAATAGATACGTACAGCACAGCATCAAACCCATAAGTACACTACCTATTATAGAAGTTTCATTTTACTTTTCTTTGGTTCCTGTTTAATAGGTAGATCTTGGTCTAGAGTTATAATTCATCTCTCATATTATAATTACTTAACTGACTTCTAATCTGTAGGCACATCAGAATTTGCACTGGCATTACAGAAAGGAAGGCAAACAATGTATAAGGGGATGCAAGTTGCCAGAGGCAGTAGTTCTGAAATTAATTTTACTACTTGACAGACTATAATGGCAATTTATGCTTTTAGTTTTGTTTGCATGTTTCGAAGAGAAACTCAGAAAGTCTTATTGCAAGTTTAAAAAATGGTCACGTGTTTTTTCTTTACTGTACCACCATTCTAAAAAACATCATAAAATGTAACTTTTTTTTTTTACAGTAATTGCATTAAATATACACTATATCATGATATTATAGCTGTCTCAAACCTGTATTTGTCTGATACAGCCATTTTAAAATCCCTTGCTTAAGCTAGAGGACTTAAAAATATACACCAACAAGACCAATGGACTCCTGCATCTCCAGCAGAGTATCTACCCTTAATCACAGAATGGCTTGTGCTGGAAGAGACCTTGAAATCCACTCAGTCCCATCCTGTGCTGTGGGCAGGGCTGCCCCTCAGCAGCTCAGCTGCCCAGGGTCACCCCTCAGCCTAGTCCCCAGGGATGGGGCACCACAGCTTCTCTGGGCAGCTCTGCCATATTTATTCAGAGGGTGGTGAGGCCAATTCCTAACATTTAAACTTAAATCTCTCCATTTCTAGCTTAAAGTCATTTCCCTTTTGCCCTATCACTATCCATCCACATAAAAAGTCAGTTCCCCTCCTGCTACAAGATTCCCTCAAGTACTAGACAGCTGCAACAAGGTCTTCCTGAAGCCTTCTCTTCTCTAAGCAGAAGCAGTACAACTTCCTCAGCCTTTCTTCATCAGAGATGTGCTACAGCCCTTTGGTCTGCTTGTTGCCAACATCTGAGCTAAGCCCATGGCTTTTTCCTCACAATGCTAGACCAAATGATGCAATAGCTTTTGTTTGACTGACTTTTAAGTTTCTGGTTCTACCTTTGTACACAGCAGCCTGACTTTAAACCTTGCACAGTAACCTCACTTCAAGTTGGAACAATCAGGATAAATATATCCTGACCACATATACTGCGGTGTCCCTCTGGAGAGGCAATATGTCAGTAATAAGCAACAAGTGCAGGACAGCTCAAGGGAGCTTCCTAGGAAGTGAGAGGACAAGGAAATGTTTCCTGACAGTTTACAAAGGATCAAAGTGCTGCCTTCAGAAAGTCCTTACTTGATGAGAGCAAACTAGAGAGCTTTCTGCCAGAAGTGAAAAAAACTGAGATACACATATAGATCAGCCCCATGATGTCACAAAATCTAGCAAACTATTTCCACAGGCTTCCTGAAGTGAATAAGAGAAAGACAGTAACATTGTTTGGTTCAAAAACCTTAGATATCTACCCTTAGTTAATCAGAAGACTTTCCAGTTTTCTTTTTCCGTATTTCTTCCCCATTCTTTGTAGCCTTCAGTTCAGTAGCATTTTTTGTCTTAACTCGCAAATAATTGCCCTTCAACTGTCTGACGTAAGACTTGCCCTCATGGTGACCCTTTTGTTCAGTACCTTGCAAGACCCAGTGATTACATCTTTAAGTAATGCCACAGAACACCTACTTATTTTTGACTACCAGACCTATCTCACCAACATTTTCTTTATATTGGAATCTCCTTTTCTGCAGTTTAGTGATGAAAAATACAAGTATCATGTTATTAACCTAACCAAACCCTTAACAATAGTCTCTTGAAGGTCATTTATGGATAGAAAAGTTTAAGCAGAACTACTACTCATTAAAGTGGAAGCTAAGACCATTCACTAA